ATCCCTCTATTGATGTGGTTATCCTACGTCCGGAACTGTTATATCCCAAACGCGATCTTTCTTTCTGATGTCACCAAAAAAAGTCCAATTAAATATTTTTTAGCCTATAAAGATGAAGGAAGAGGAAATGCAATAAGCGGGAGTTTAGGAGAGCTAGATATAGGGGAACCAAGAGGATTTATAATATGTTTACGAGTTAAAAATATAGAATATAATTTAATTAATATAGTAGAACGCTAATGAAAAGTTCGAGTTAGAGTATTTTTAAAAACAAATTTAATTCGAATTATTATGTGTAAATTTCATTGCAACGAAAAACATGAAAGTTTCAAACATTGTAATATATTTGTTTCAAAAATATAATTTCTATATACAAAACTAACATAATAAATAATCAATGGTCTTCATGTTTTGATTCTACCGCAACAAAGCAGATATGTAAAAAGTTATACATATTATTTTATATCATATTTCAAGTGCAAATGTGATTTTACGCCATATAGACAAATTCTAACATCGAGTTAAATACATAAAAAGAGAAAAATTGAGATGAAATGTGGAATTAACATCTTAATAAGATAAATAGAAAAACAAATTGATCATATCTTTAGTGTGAATGGTAAGATTAACTCAAAATATAACCAAAAGTTACCATAAACCATCCTTCTTAAAATTAACGAATATAAATAAAATCAAATGGAGAAGTTGTCGCGAACAACCCAGGGCGTGTGTGGGGCTTCGATACCTAGGAAAGAAAAAAAATGTTTAAAAAGGTTTTCTAAATTGGGAACATAATTAAAAGAGGAGGAGATGAAGTTTATTTGATCAAACTTCCAAAGGCTTAACATAGGTCTAGATTTGGGCTTTATTTTGATGAAAAGATCATGCATAAAGCAACATCCTCACCTCCTGATATGCTCTGTCGAATAAGCGTTGATGAAGATTCGTGAGGAACTTGAGGGCATTGGCCAATCCTCCATCCTCTGCACTCTCAGATGTACCTTTCCGATTTTGGAGTTTAGTCACAATCATATCCCAACAAAGTTTCTCTTTAGGAAGTTGAGAATATTTGCAAACAGTCCATTGTATTGGATCATTGATTTGGAGTTGATTCTTGTTGATAGATGGTAAGGCGAAATTGGTTTTTATTTATTTGATAGATGCATGCTCTGCATGTTTTTCTGACACTTTTATATACACGAATTGTGTTAAATCCATCTCTGTTAAAGCAATATCTCAGTTGATCAAAACTCCCACTAGTTTAATTAAATTATAATAAGAAAGTAATAATCTAATTTATAATAATCTTAATCTAGTGGGAGTTTTGATCAACTGAGTTATTGCTTTAAGAGAGATGGATTTAACACAATTCGATTATTATAAATTAGATAATTACTTTATTTATAATTTTATTTTAAGATAGTTATTTAGGTAGTGACTATATTGCGGGTGATTATTAAAATTATCTTGAACACAGAAAATATTTATTTAAAGATCTTGTGCAAATTGAAAACAACACGATTTTCCCAACTTCAAAACGCAGTGTTTTGATATAAGGGCTTTTTGCAAAAAATTAGTTTATGGTTTTTTTTGCACAAATTAAAAATAATTTCTGACAATGCCATGTCATCAATATAAGCAGAGGCTATATTGCAGGTGACTTTTGAGATGAGTGGTTTGGCTTGCATTTTTTTGAGGTGAGGGTTTTTTTTGCAAAAATAATTTAGGTTGAGGTTTTTTTTGCACAAATTATATTATTCTTGCAAGAAAAACTCTCACCTCTAAAAAATGCAAGTCAAACCACTCAGCTCAAAAGTCACCTGCAATATAACCCACTGCCTATATTGATGACGTGGCATTGTCAAAATCTTTTTTTTTAAATAAGTTTTTGTACAAAAAAAACCACAAACTATTTTTTTTGCAAAAAGAGCCCTCATATCAAAAAGCTGCATTTTTTATTAACCCATTGCATTTCGGTTTTTGAGACGGGAATGAGAAATTTAGGAAACCAAAGATGATACCCGAAGTATTCACTTATTATAACGGGACGGGAAATAACAGGAATAGGAAGATAACGGGAAATTTGAGGATAAAAATTAATTCCCGAAGTCTTACTAAATCGGGAAAATTGAAGATAATTTTGGAAAAATATGGGAAAATTTGGAATATTTAAGGAAAAATGTCTTTTTCAATTTTTTTTTTTTTAAACGGGAAAATCGGGAAGTCATGTACCCTTCATTTACCCGTTTGAATAAAAGAAATGTTCCCAAACGGGTAAGGGAAGAGTTCTGAAACGGTACGGGATTTTCCAATTTTCCCTTTTACTAATTTAAAAATTGAAATATATATTTTTTTTCTTAAATATCCCAATTTTTCCCATAATTTCCCGTATTTTACATATTTTCCGTATTTTCCTCGTAATTTCTCAAAATATCTTCAATTTTCCGATTTACTAATTTCGGGAATTAATTTTTATTCTCAAATTTTCCGTTCTCTTCCCATTCTCGTTATTTCCCGTTCCGTTATAATAAGGAAATATTTCGGGTATCATCTTTGGTTTCCCAAAAAAGGAAATGCATGTAGGTTTTTGATACGAGGGCTCTTTTTGCAAAAAAAAATAGTTTGAGGTTATTTTTTGCACAAAAAAATATTTTTAAAAAATATTCTGACAATGCCACGTCATCAATATAGGCATGGGCTATATTGCGAATGACTTTTGAGGTGAGTGGTTTGACTTGCATTTTTTTGAGGTGAGAATTTTTTTTGCAAAAATAATTTAGTTTAGGTTTTTTTTGCACAAAACCCTTTATAATATTTGTTACACATTGTTACAACTATATTTTCCAACATCTGTATCACCGACAACATTAACACCATAACTAAGAAGATGAATCAGCTCATAGTGAAGAGGGTCAAGATGAAGATGGAGACCATGATGATCGTGATGTTACTAGCGAGGACATTGAAAGTGATTCTGATTGCCTTGAGGAGAATTCTGATGATGATGGGGCTAATTATGGTCTTGGTTTAAAGGAGAATAAGATTAGCAATACATTGGATTCTATTCATTCGGAAACCGTATAATTTCTGAACGGTTTATTTGTTAATATTTTCAAACCGCTTACGAGAAAGCGTGTAGAAGAGGAATGACACCATCGAGGATTAACCGTGCCTGATAACGTCATGCCGAAAGTGTTTGGCGTTTCGCATTTTAAACCCGGTCCATTTGATTCTTGCATTCAAGTGTGTGTCTTACGTAAATGGGTTCTTGATGTCGGTCCAGATGGAAAGAGAATTGAGTTGGTACTTTTTGGTGAACATGTATGATTTCGTTGTCTATAGATTGCGTATAAATCACATGTTTATTTTTTGAAGGAGGTATTCATCGTTTAATCATGAAAATATTTATTTGGTATATCTACAGGGAGCTAAGATTCATGGATTGGTGCCTACCTATGTACGATGAATATATGCGGGACATGTACGAGGGGAATTTCGTGAACATCAAGAATTTTGATGTAGTCATTCAAGTAGTATCATGCAGAACTATTTGGCATGCTAACATACTTATTTCACGAGAACAACGGTTGTACTAGGTCATTATACACTTAAGGACAAAATAGTTTTGATTTTGTTAGTTTTGGACTATACTTGATCGTCGACACTACGATGATTATTTAGTAGGTACGTATACAATATTCATGCTTATTTATGTCCTGGTGTTATGTATAAAATGATAAATTTTTTTTTGTAATTACATTTTCTGATGCGATGTATTTTTCAAATGTAATTGGTTTAAATTTAATTGAAGAGGTTATCAACGTTAGAGAAAATAAATTCCACAAGATCACCATGTTTGATTTGCGTGATACCAAGTAACTTTCTTAATATTATTAAATCATATTTACGTTATTAATATTGTTGGATAATATATTCACGTTGGTATTTTATTTCTTGATTACAATGTCAATATGGTTCTCATGATGGTTTGTGCGTTCGTGTTGTGATGTCAGTAAATACTGTCTTAGATGTGAACTATCGGGATCAATTGCTTATGGATTCTTTAAACGATGGAATTACATGAAGAATCTTGGTTATATTCCTATTTGTGTTATGAGATGGGCAGTCGTTGATTTCTTTGGAGGTGTGAGTTGTTTATGTTTTTCTTCGATCTATGTCATCTTAATTAGTTTACTACAATATTTAAATTTATGAATTTTGTATAGGGCGAATAACCATCTCTAATTTTGATCCCACTCGAGTCTATCTGAATCCTTTGGTCGACAATGTTAACGAGTTTGAGACTATGAACGTATTGTATAGCATCCACGCATTTTCTCTAAGTCTTATCCATATTTTTGATATCTGAAAGGGATATTCTTTTGTGGTTGTGCTATAGGTTAGAAGAGAACGCGAAATTCAAAAACACCTGAAGAGGCAATACGATTAGCTTTTCATGCATGTGTTTTCGCTGGGGATTTTACAGGATTTATTGATGGTTAGCTACGATATAACCATTCACATATGTTATTTTTGTTTTTCAGTTTTTTCAGTTTTTTGGATAGAACCTAGCATTTGAGTACATCTCAGTTTATATTTTAATATATGATCGTTTTTATTCTTGCGAAAAATTAGATTCTGTTAAATCAAATGTATTCTATACAATTCATGATGTCTTTGTCTTAGTTTTGTTATTTGATTCAATCAGACGATTCATAGTTTATCGATCTAAAGAATTATAAAAAGGTAATTGTGTAGTTTTGCACTTCATATTTCTTGGAAAAAAGTTATGAGACTTCTATAAATATAAAAACGTGAAGCATGTCGGGTAAGAAGATATATGTATACGAAATGTGTGTAAAAGATAGGTGAGAATATGTGAGAATATGCTAAACATATTGTCTATGGTTGATCTCGGTAAAAGTAATATATTACCAAGATGCGATAATTCTAAAAATGTAATATCGCATATGAGTAACTCTAAAAATGTAATAAAGTTCATGATAGTAACGAAGCGTCTCAAATACCATCTCAAAGTGAGGAGCCGTCTTCTGATAACAAGGGTGATATACATTGATGAGTTTCTGAATAGCATCAAAGTGTTTGGATTGCCAAATCATCTTATCTGTCTCAAATTTGGCACACCTATAATGTTGCTTAGCAACATCGATACCAAGAACGGTTTGTGTAATGAAAATAGGCTAATAGTTACTAAGATGGCTAAGTATATCTCCGAGGCTCAAATCATAACATGTGATAAAGTTGGTATTGCAGAGATTATTCCTAGGATTACGATGTCGCCTATTGAGGCCAGGTTTCCTTTCAGGATGAAACGGAAGCAGTTTCCCATCGCCTTGGTATTTGCGACGACTATTAACAAGAGCCAGGGACAAACATTAGGTAAAGTTGGTATCTATCTCTCAGAAACAGTTTTTACTCATGGTCAATTGTATATAGCGGTGTCCAGAATTACGTCGAGAGCAGGATTGAAGATACTTATCACAAACAAAGACCTGAAACCACAGTGGACGACGCTAAATGTTGTGTTCAACGAGACATCCAAATATATTTAGGGTTTTATCTGCGTTTCGCTATCGCGTAGTGGTTTACTTCTACCAGTTTTTCTATCTTTGTTTTCTTCTTATTCTCCATTGTTTATCAGATCCATTGTTGCTTTCATAAATTTATGACAAACATTGTCGAGGTATTATTTAGTTTAGTCTGTGTGAAACCCTAACGATTCCACGTTGTTCTTATAAAATCTTCTGACCGATAATGCGATTTGTTAAGTACATATAAACCTTACAGAGATAACTTAATAAAGGAAATTTTCTGTTAACAGAAATGTTAATAAGTATTAATTAAAAATATGTGTGTAAATAAATATAAATCTAAAATTCGATAGTGTGTATTTTCTTATTTTAGATTAGGTGGAACAAACTTATAAATGGGGAACTATTATCTCATCGACTTTAGGCACGGGGGTTTTGATTTATGTGTCTTTCCTCTGGAAGAGTTACTGTAAAAAGAGCAGTCCGAGTATATATTATTTGTATGTTTCATAGTACGGTTAGAGGAGACGATATCACAGAACTTATTTTCATCGATAAGAACGTAACCTAATTATACGGCTGACCTAATTCGGAAATAGAATTATTAAATTTACTCAATTTATTTGACGGTCTTATTGGTCTTCGATCAAAAATACATACAGTATATATATATACTCCTTTGGTTCTTAGGTTTCTGAATTAAATATTATTTATTCTCAAAGCATGTATGTCTATTCAAGTGGAATTATATATTTATTCTCAAAGCATGTATGTCTATTCAAGTGGAATTACATATTTATTCTCAAAGCATGTATGTCTATTCAAGTCTAGTATGTAGAGATTACGATATATGTTTGCTGAACGTAGCGGAATTACATCCTCTTATTTAAAAAATAGTGTTATGGGTGCAATCATCTGCACGTTTATTGGTTTCGATGGTATGGATGAAACAGTAGAGGTTCTGTTGATCGACGAAAAGGTAGTCTCGATGATGGAGTGTTCTCGTGGTGTTGTGCATGTGATATAAATATTGCAGGTTTAGATTTGTTGTATATTCACAATTAGACATCTTAAATTGGTTTCGCGTTAGGGTGATCGAATTCAAGCTTCGTTGAAAAGAAGTTCGATGTTCGTGTTATACCTACTCTCATGCAGCCTCTCTTTTCGCAAGAAGGAGATTGGATCCTCTTGGGTCATCTTGACCTGACTCCAGTGACTGGGGAACTCAGGCTAACTCCTCACGAGTTTAAGATGGAATGTAAGAGATCAACGATTATTAAGAAGTTTCCACACGGAATATCCGATTATAGATACAGTTTTGTTTCGTTTGAGGATATCAAAATTGGCATAGTGGATCCTGCCTTCAGTGTTGGTAAGCTTCTCTTTTGTGTATTGTTATATATGGTCGTTATTATTTCCGAGTGGTCTACCCGTGTTTAGTCAACTATTTTTTCGTTCGTGTCTTTCTAAGATTTGATTGAAAAAGTTAAAAATGTTGGCAATTTCTTCAACCGAGAGTATATCGCTGTTGTGGATAAAAAAAAGGTTTGCTTATATTTGCGGAATGAAAGGTAAGCAGTTGCTAATTGATATTTAGGCACATATGAGATTAGTGTATGGTTATATTAAATAGTACAATGTTATCACCGTCTTGGCAGGGGTAGTTGCATAGCTGTGGTGATACAGAGGTCACACGCACTGGATATCGTATGTCGTTTGATGGACTATACGGAGACGACTGTTGTATGCGTTGTGAGGTTTGGGAGAATTATAAAATCGGGTGGGGTTTGGTCGGCTCATGCCGTCGACCCGTACTCACATGTGGCACTGGATCCTAATCGTGAATTCCGGTGTTTAATCGCCGATAATGAGAAACAGTGTGCCAAGTCATCGACTAAGGAAATTACAATGTATTTGGTGAGAATGTGATTATCATTGGGGTTTAGAATTACAATAAGAACTTGGTCACTCAAGTACCCAACCAGAATTGACTTCACTATTTCTATATTATGTTCATCACAATGTTTTTGCAATTTGTTTATGTTATTTTTGTTTTCAATATTATGAACATTTTCATTATCAAGATAATTTGCAATAAGATTATTATTTAATATTATAAATTTATTATTAAGTTCTGAATAATTTGGGCCAGGGAGTCAATCTATAGAACAATCGCTGTAATTTTATACGCAAATTCTAAAGACAAAAATAAAAACATTTTGGAAAATGGTTTAAATATTTAAATAAAGTGATAAACTAAACCTATGTCCGTATAACTTTTACTTTTCATTAATTCTCCAAAGGACACAGCTTTTCACATCTCTGAAAATAACTATCATTCATTCTCGACAGAGTTCTATCACAATCTAATATGGCTTGGCGGGATCAAACACTTAAGCAGTTTCTGCCATGGGAATATCCGTCAACGAGTAAGTTGGTCTCATAAGTATATTGAACATAAATGTCGTTGGTTATTCATGACAACGCTTTCTTGTTGTGTTAATATTTTATTGTGTGTAGTGAAAGGCATCTTCGCTGTTGTGCGAAGAGAGTGATAGCAGAAATTTTTGGTGGCTCTTTTACGGGGAAGAAATCAGAATTGCATGTCCTTTGACTGATTGGAGGTTTGCAGCGGGCAATCGTAAGATTTTACGTGTTATGATTTAATTTTTGATTTTAAAAAAATAATACATTCTTAGCTAAGAGATACTTGCTAAGCCACAGTTTTGTTTACATATAGACTGTGCACAATGAAGACATTGAAGGAATATCAAGGTTTGAGTTTAATCTCGAAGGATACGAAGAGGTTGATAAGTTTTCAGAAATCATGTAAGTTTTCAAAATATTGAAATGCAGCCCATATCCGATTTTATGTAAATCCAAAATAAATTATAGTATCCATAGCTCTGACGGTCAATTATTTATGTATCTATGTATATTATTATCAATTTGATATTATCCATAAATCTCAAAGAAAAAAATGGAAACATAATATATAATTATTCCTTCTTGAAGCAACACACCTTTTCACAAATCTAATAAACTAAAAAATATCTTAAACTTCCCGTCTTCCCTAGCAAAATTTCCGTTCCCCTGACCGTAAAACGTACACCACAGTATAAATATAATTTTTTGTGGTGTTTCGTTTTGCGGCTTCTTTTCATGTATCTATCCTATTTGCAAATCTGAAGTTCGATAATCAAGAAAAACACGTTTAAACAACATGGCGTCTTATGCGATGGTAGCGGATTTTCATTCATTGGTTATCAACATGACGTTAAGAGTCATGGTTTTAAATAAGTGGGTTAATGTCAGTCCTAGAGGTGTCGAACCGTTAGATGTTATTTTCATCGAAAAAGCAGTAAGTTGTTGATGTACTCAACATTTGCATACATTTAGCCTCTCATACTGCATAGTTCTGTGTATAATTGAGTCTCATTTCATAACATTTAGTGTAGCTTTAGTCTACTTAGGATCATTTAGCCTTTAGGATAGCATTTTGCATTTCCATTGCATTTGGGGTGCATTTATCAGGTATTCGGAGCTTATGGCGAAGGAGGACCGGAGGTGATGATCGGAGATGGACCAGAAGGAGATCGGAGTAATCGGATGGCAAAACAAGCAAGACGGAACAGAGCCTTGAGCAAAAGGAAACAGAGTGCTTGAGGAAGTTGCTCAAGCTGCGCGCATCTGTGAAGTCAAAGCAAAAACGTTGACCAAAGGATACACTTTTCCCTTCTCTATATAAACCTTTAAGACCTAATTTTAGGCAATCTTTATCTTGTAACCAGTTTCTCTCCAAGAAAAACAGTTTGTTCTTGGAGATCTTTTGTAAGCTTTTACTTTGAATCTTTTAAGTTTAAGAAGTACTTAGTTTGCTAATCTTGTCTTAATGATGATTTCTAGCTTTCTTTACCTCTTTGCTTTCGGTTCGAGTATGAGTAGCGAGTAGTTCTTTAGAGGTTTCGAGGGTGAGATTAGGAAAGGTCAGAGCTTTAGCTTCCTGTTAACCTCTTCCTTAATCTCCCTTGACCAGCTTTTCTTTAGCTAGAGCTTTATATCTCGGCTTCTTCTTGATCACTTGAAGTCGCGAATCTAGGCTAGTACACCTAGAAGGTGTTTGCGTTAATGCCTAAGAGAGCTAGCGATAGAGAGAAACATTCCCAACCTAAGAGATTGGTTGTTGGGATGTATCTTGTGCACTTTTAGACTAGATCTTGTGAAAGCTTGTAACTTTGAGTCCACTAGTGAGAGCTAGCTTTGGATTCTCAGCTTGCAAAGCGATCTGACCACGAGAGTGGCGGATTTACCCAAAGTCTAAGCACAAAGCTTGAGTCTTGGTGTGTTGAGAAAGGAAGGTTGAGCTCGTTTGATCCCAACTAATCTCACCCAAGACGCCTCCTTTATCTTTATTGTTAAAGTTTAAATCTTTATTTCATCTTGTTAGCTTAAAGCATAGATCTTTACAAAACAAAACCCAATCTTTTATCAAACTTGATCTTTGCCTTTTCTTTATTTCGATAGTTTAATCTCCATTTGGATTGACATCTCAAGTACTACAATGACATGAGTGGTATGGATTGAGAGTAGTTGATACAAAAATCCTACTTATCAGTTGTTTAAAACAGAACTCTACTAACAATTGTTTCCTACAATTATTTATCGTAACTAATAGTCTATAAACCCTGATTTCTCATGTAGGGAACAAGGATCCAGGCGTCAATGACGAGGAATGACTACGTTAGCATGTTTGATGTCCAAATCGAGGAAGGAGAATGGTACAGCCTATTCAAGTTCTCTGTCGTCGGTTCTCCGGTTCGAAACCGAACAATAACTAACGAATGATGCACTATCATGGATTATAAGACTAAGATCCAAAACATACTAAGAAGATCTTCCAGCTATGTAGTTGAACATCATCCTTTTAAATTAGTAACGAACTTGCGTGTTGATTACGCATTTCCTATTAGTAGGTCCTCTGTTTGAGAAACTACATTTATTTTATACAATAATTTTCATAATATTGTTGTGTAACTAATAAGATCTTTTTCAAATATGATTTGTACCATAGATTTGTAGGGTGTAGTCTCTAATGTTGGAAATCTTGACACCGTCTGGGATGAATTGTTTTGTGGACGAAACAAAAGAAATTGCAAAATCGATTTCCCGATCTGTGATCTTCAACAAGTGCTCTAACAACAAAATATGTATTTTAACTGATCATATGTGAATTTCATTGCTCTGGATATCAGCTATTTTTCCTAGAAATTAAATCGTGAAATACTATGTTCTACAAGTTGAAAACTCGCTACTGATTTCTATGAGTTGTAGCATAGAAGTCTGAATGCTGTCGTAGTATGTGAATTAACAGATTAGAGAGCTTTCTCGAACAACGGTATGGTCGATATAACGTTTTAAACTATTTTTGAAGTGTTAATGTGCATCAATTTAACCATAATTTGTATTGGACTAATGGTGTTCTGTTAAGTTATTAAGATGGAATTATGTTGTTGATGGAAGTGCTATGTCAAGATTCTAATTTGATCCACTTTTCCCTATGGCTCAAGAATTGAAAGAGAAGTAAGTATCGAATTAACAAAAAGCTTGATACTGTAGAGATTATATAACTCTGTACTATTGTTTTTTGTATCCACGTAATATAACAGGTTTATGCTGACGTTGCTGCATAAGAAACCACCACCGATTAATGTTTACACCTCATAAACATATTTCTTCACCCACTATCGCATTGGATAAGGATATAGGGGTTTGTGTTGCCTAAGGAATTGTGTTGCCACATTACTCACAATTTGGCATATTCCGATTTACAATTTATTTATATAATCACTTATCAAATCGTGATTCTATTCTCTGATTCCTTCTTCTAACATCTCCAAACATAATTTATTTTTTATGGATGAATTAACTTATATGTTTCCAATTTGTGCTGGTGGTTTTGTTACGTTCACATTATTTTATTTTGTTGGGTGTTTATTTTTGTTCATCTAACTGTAAGATAATGTCTATACAAAAATCCAAAACATCAAATTTATGCGATGTAATGCAATTTGACATAATCTGTAATGAGCCAAATAAACGTCTACAACATGAATAAGTATGCGAGTGGAAAAGTATATACGGTGTAGTCCGTTTAGATGACTACCTATTGAAATTCCAAAATTTCTTGTATTTCGTGTCATTTGAAGTGATATAAGGTAATTGTCTATGAAGATGTATGTCAGATAATGCATTTCGTGTTTAGTTAGGTTTTTTGTTTTGTTTAAACGGTTCATTTCATATAATTGTTGATTTTAAGAATTCACAAGTATTACTTAAATATCTACCTTCATCTAAGTTGGTCAACATCTTGTGGATCAGAAACACTGGTATCGAACACTGCCTCTACTGTTCATGTTGTCTTTCTTGAGTTGTCGCATCCTTGTTTGTTTTCAGAATAGTGAACAGCTTTTAGTTGCATATAACTCTTCTGCTTATGAGACATACATAGTCAACAAATTAATAGTATTGTGTGATACCTTTAATGCAATTAAATGACCTGTTCGACTAGACTCTATACATACATATTCATACAGCTTGAGAACCGTATCTTTCCCTTATCTCTTTCAGTCTCCAAATCACATGTTTCGAAATTCCAATGGAAAACATGCTTCCAAAAACCTGCATAGATAACTTATTGCCTCATACGATTGGATTGACGTGATGGTCGTTCGACTGTGGATACAACTTGATGATAATGGATATAGCATAATAAAAATGATATGCAGCGACGTGCATAACTCTATTACGGCGTCGTTCGTTTTTGAGGTTTTTATTTTGTAGGACATGATGTTCTCGATGTTCTGTATTATTTCGGTCACTAGTTATGTTAGATATACCAAGCACCAATGTGAGATCGTTTTCACAAGTGCAACATTGGTCCGTGATATCGAGTCAAAATCTAATAGCATTTTCGTGGATGCCCCGAGAATTTCAGATATTCAGCATTTTATGGTTGAAGAAGACGTCTTGACAGGTTGGTCTATTGTATATGAATCTTGCTATAAGTATTGTTATGCTGTCGGTGATATAGTCTTTATCACAATTTTTTTTTCTAAGATGTATTTGGATTTGTTGCTTCCGTTGGATGTCTGAGGACGAACGGAGGTGGTTATCGGACGCTAAAGTTCAATCTTATCGATGAAAAGTGAGATTTATGTGTTTTCAACAATGTGTAATAGGTGTTATAATAATATACATGAATCATTACAATATTATTCTATGCAGATGTTTATAACTAACTTTTCAATTGTAATTTAGTGACTACCTCATCGAATGCACTGCATGTTGTTCTATTGCTGATAGATTCACTGACCTATGGCCGGCCAGTAAAAGTATTGCTAGAATCTTTCTTCTAAGGTTTTGGATGATTGAACACAGACATAAATATTGTGTTTGCATTCAATTGCGTTAGTTTTACTCTGTTTTCAAAACATCGGTAATCGTTAATCGGGCGCTCGGGTTAAGATTAACGATTTTTCAAAAATCGGAACTAAAACGGAGATTAATCAGAGATGAATTTTTAAGATATTTTGTATATTTTAAAAACATTTTCATATATATAACTACATAACATAGTAATACATCAATATATTCATATTTCAAAAGTAAAGTAATTTATTTTGGCTTTAATTTCTGATTGAATATATCGATTAATCATAAATCATTCAACTTTCACAACACATGTTACTAGTTTGTTGGTCAATAAGAAAATTTGGTCAAAAATGACGTCACACTAAACCTTAATGGGCCCATTTCAAATGAAAAATGGCAATTTGGCCCATCCAATTGCACATATTAAACATTGTTTATGACTTAAAACGTTGACTGCTTCATGTGCGACGATTTCCATAAAACTGCTCGGCATGAACGATTTTTCATTGAAATCGGCGGTTTTTAGAACACAGGTTTTACTAACCTAAAAATAATGTTTTTTGGGATTGTGATGTCGGTTTAACGTTATATTCCACAGATAAAACTACGAATGATATGACTTTTTAACCTTCGATCTTTTCCCGGGTGTTCCGACCATAAAATGTCAAGACTTATTAACCTTCGATCTTTTTAACCTTTATTTTTAATCCAGTTATACAAGAAGCGGCAGAGTTAAGAGATAGGTACCAAACTATGGGTGATCAAGGATCGATTGTCGACTGAGTATGGTCTAAGAACCATTTCATCATACCGATATGCTATCAGTGATCAGTGACAATGTACTAGATATTTTGGTTTGTTGGTAGAATAAAATCTACTGACAACGGTGATGATATTGTCTACATACGTTTGAATCTGCATTGTTCAAATAAGTTGGTGTTCGTGTTATATATATCGAATTTAAAATTTATCATCTAATAAGATTATAAAAGCAGAGGATCAACTTACGTATCATAAATATTGTGCCATTAACGGATTGTTGTAGATATAAATAAAATATGAAAGAGAAAAACAACATGTATTCTGTTTGACGCTCTAAATGCGTAAAGAAACAAAAAACAGTAAATTAAGCAATAAAAAATGATAAATATTATGACTATGAATACTAGCATCAGCTTATAATTTCCATCATCTTCGTTCTAAGTCAGACCGATTGTTAAACACGCATCTTTGAAGCTGTGATGAACAACGCCTCCCACAGTCCTTATATCCTCAAAACTAACCGGACCCCTAACAACTCCTAGCAATATTCTTAGATAATAAGCCTCTCCGCAACGGAAGAACCACGTTTAGGGGTCCACGTGCGAAAGAACCACGTTTTCTAATGCCCTGCTTTGCCTACGCCTAGGTTTCTATTTTTTGTTCTGCTCTGACCAAACTCATCTCGATGGAAACTCTGTGTAGAGGAGTGTTTTTGCTCTAGAGTTTGATGCGTTTCAATCCATCTAAGACGAAAATTTATTTTTGGCAGGAGGTTTCACAAGTTCTGGATCGTCGACCTGAAAAATAATAAGATTGTTTGCTTGGGAAATAATAAGGTAGTAGCTGCATCCTATGGTAACGTGAAGAAACCTAAATAAAACAATAGATGATTAATGATACAACACCATTCCCGTATATGTATATATATATATACATATATTTATTTATCTTCTAGAGAATTTGTAATCATGAAAATCTAAATAAATAGAAAATGATATATATGGACTATGGCTAAACGTAATAATCCTTCCTTTTCGTATACATAGATATTTATATATAATATTCCGAAGTAATAGAATGATAGATCCGAGATTCGGGAGATTGTCTAAAAAAAATAATATTTAGCAAAGTAATTAGGAAATATACCATATAACATTGTACATTCTAATATTTTATTAGTTGGTGTATCTTTATCCAAAAATAATTATATTATCCACATCGCATTTGTGTGTGCCTCGGTTTCTTGGTCATTCATTCAAATCAAACCAGCGCAAAAGCAAAGAAACCTCTACCACTCAAAATTTCTCGCTGCTTCAATTCAATGGCGTCTTTGCTTGATTCCGTCACCGTTACCCGCGTGTTTTCTCTGCCGAGCTCGATCTCGTCTATTTCAGCGGCTCCTTCTGTTTCTGGACGCCGGATTTCTACCGTCGAATTCAGAGGTTTGAAGGCTTGCCGGAGTTTAGTGAGTCAGTCGGCGAATCGCAGATACCGGTTTGCTCGCGGCGTTCGAGGAATCGTCTGTGAGTCTCAGGACACTACTGCCGCCGTCGAAGGTATACCGCTTTTCCTCTGTCGATTCCTGCGTAACGTTCACAATTCATGATTGCTGGTTCTGTCTTGGTATGATAAAGTCATTGTGAATCTCTGACTATTTAGGTTGTAAAGTCAATCATAATTGAATTCCCTGAAATTTGGACTCCAAACTTCTTTGAGACTATAACTTGTTAGTGTTTTGATTAATCTCATTTGAGGATAGCTTTTAGTTTCGATTCTGGTCTCTTGTATCCTCTGATACTATAATTCTTAATGATTGGAATCTGAAAATATAACTCGTAACTGTTAACCTTAAAAACATATTTTGGGGCATTCTCGTCAACTTCCTCATCTATCGAATTGTGCTCTGCGATAAAATCTTGATTGCTTCCTTGTAGCATATAGAGTTCAATATAACTCGAGAAAGAACCAGAGACCAGAGTCTTGGTGGTTCTATGGGTGACGATGCAATGCAGTATTAGATGATTACTTGGATTAAACCGGTTATCGGTTATCAATGCTGGTTTACTATTAGTGGTTTAGTCACTCATGTATATAATCTTTTGTACAGTTTAACAAAGCAGTAACAAACTTTTCTTCACTGATTACATTCTTGAGCTCTTAAACTTGAGCTTCATGCTTGGTTAATCTAAATCTTAATAACTTGTTTGTATGAATATGTGGTGCAGTACCAAACCTGTCGGATTCAGACTGGCAAACAAAGGTTCTTGAATCAGATGTCCCAGTTATGGTCGAGTTTTGGGCACCATGGTGTGGACCGTGCCGTATGATTCACCCAATAGTTGACCAGCTGGCCAAGGAGTTCGCAGGGAAGTTCAAATTCTACAAAATCAACACCGACGAGAGCCCAAACACAGCAAACCGTTACGGGATACGCAGCGTCCCGACCGTGATCGTATTCAAAGACGGTGAGAAGAAAGACAGTATCATCGGAGCTGTGCCTAGAGAGACGTTAGAGAAAACTATAGAAAGATTCTTGGTCGAGTAAAAAAAAAAATTAACCAAATTTACCTTATCGTCTCTGTTGTAATCTCTCTGCAAAGTCTACTGACTATTATGGTATTCGTGGGCCCATTTTGTCTGGATTAATCAAAAATAGAAAGAGAAAATAAACCACCGACGACATTAAAGGAGAGGTTGAGAAGCACATTTCCACATGCCATTGTTCTTCATGACCTATAATTCACCGTACAACCTATACATACATGATACATATGTTTTGAGCATATGTAGGCTTCCGTACTCTTTCATTCTGTGTACTGTATAGGACATATAATCAGAAAACGCGTTTTGTTTTTGACGAAGTCGCATTAACTAAATCAAATAGGCTAAAACATAGCGAAATGTAATTTGAAATATACAGTTAGATTGAATCCTGAACTAAATATGCAGCTAGATCTCAAAAGCGTTTGTCAACTGTTGTTTACTTGCTTTGTAGCTATTAACATATCAATAATATTAATTATGACATGCATGCATTTTTTCTTATACTTTTAGGAAAAATATTATGTGTGTCCTGCGTGTAGACCTAAAGTTTAATAAATTATTAGAGAATTCTCAAGAGTAATAAAAAAATTAAGAATCCAACTAAGAAAAATAAACAACACATGCATGAGATCGTGGTGCATGTCATGTAAGTGAAATAAGTCATGATAATCACCGACAAAACGCGTTAACTCTTAACTGATCCTTATATAAAGAGTGCGAAAGGCTTCCTTCTCTTCAAGCAATCACTTGCACGACTATAACATCATTTCTTTCGATCTCTCTTTGTTTCATCAAGAAAACAAAACTTATTAACTTAAACTATAAAATATATATAGAGATGAAGGGGAAATATTTGGTAACGGTTATTCTCTTGGTTAGTACGTTAAGTGTTGGGATGTGTTCTAGTGGTTGGATTAGGGCTCATGCAACGTTTTATGGTGTTAATGATAGCCCTGCTTCACTCGGTAAAAATTCCTAAAAACTAGTATCAATTAATAGTTTTCTTTGTTACTTCAGTTTTTTGTATATGATGTATATATGTTTATAGGAGGAGCTTGTGGATATGACAATCCGTTCCACGCTGGATTCGGAGCTCACACGGCGGCGCTAAGCGGTGCGCTATTTAGAAGCGGCGAGTCATGCGGTGGGTGTTACCAAGTGAGGTGCGACTATCGGGCAGATCCTAAGTGGTGTCTACGAGGAGCAGCCGTGACGGTGACGGCTACAAACTTCTGTCCGTCGAACAACAATGGAGGTTGGTGCAATCTCCCTCGCCACCACTTCGACATGTCCATGCCCGCTTTCTTCCGCATCGCCCGCCGCGGCAACGAAGGCATCGTCCCCGTCTTCTACCGCCGGTAACATTTTATGTTCTATTTCGCATAAACTTTTATAAATGATGTCTCATAAACTATAGTGTTGTATTGCACATGTTTATATTAAAATATCAACATAATATTATTATGACATAAATATTTTAAACAAATAGCATTATGCAACATGTAATACATAAGCAAATATCTAGCATACTTTTTTTTTTGTCAAACAAAGACGTCTTCATAATTAATCATGTAACTAGTAGAGTACCCGCACGTTTGTGCGGTGTGATGTTGTTGTTTTGTGTAGAAAATTTAAATCTTAAATCCGAACCCGAGAAAAAACCCTAATCAAAACCCGAAAACCAGAAATCTAAAAAATCCGGAAAACCCTAAACTGAAAAAAAAAAAATTGAACCTAACCCGAACATAAATTTTCAAAGAAATCCGAACAATTTCTATATCTCTATATATATCTCTATAAAATTACGTCTCAGATTTTCACCCAAACCCAAACTTGTCTATAAAAACCCGAAAATCCAAAAAGCATATTCTATTGATTTGGAATTATCGTTAGATTATGTTAAATTTTCTTTTTTTGCAGATTTTTAAGAGATGGAAAACGGAAGTTTTCTAAACCATCGGTTTATTTTAAGTTATTATTCTTGTATCCAAACAATTTTTTCCATTTATTATTCTATCCAAATAGATTTTTCTCTTATTCTTATATTCAAACAACTTTTGTTTCTATTTATTCTTCTATCCAAATAGATGTTTCTCTAATTCTTGTATCCAAACATTAGAATGTACTTCTCAATTAATAATATAAAGATGTAACATATATAGGGTGGGATGCAAAAGAAGAGGAGGCGTGAGGTTCACTATGAGAGGGCAAGGGAACTTTAATATGGTAATTCTCTCAAACGTTGGCGGCGGCGGCACGGTGAAAGCGGTTGCGGTGAGAGGCTCAAGGGGAAAGACTTGGCTTCAGATGACTCGTAATTGGGGTGCCAACTGGCAGAGCTCCGGCGATCTCAGGGGACAGCGACTCTCCTTCAGAGTTACTCTTCTTGACCGCAAAACGCTGACGTTTCTAAACGTTGTTCCTTCTTCTTGGTGGTTCGGCCAAACCTTCTCTTCTCGAGGCCAATTCTTGTGAGACTACAGCTCTTAAAACGATTACGTCTTGTTTGCTCTTTCATCTTTGTTAAGAATGTGGGGCCATTTTTCAATATTTTTGAACTTTGCTCTTGTTTTTTTGGGCAAAGTTCCTTTGATTTTTATTTTATTACTAAACATTTCTATGCTTAATTGGTTTCTCATTTACGTGTAAGCATTACTCAAAAGGTCAAAAGAGTTTTGCTGGATTTATATTAATGAAAATAACATTTTAATTAGGTTCCAATTTTACTACAACAAACATCATTTTATACCACACTATTGCTATGATAAAGAAGAGCAAGTAAATCTCATATGTGGTAAAGCCGTAAAGAAACTGCATGTTATTGTCGTCAGTACAGTCTTAAGTCTACTCGTAACTGGAAATAACTCTTTGCTAAGGAAAGATAAAAAAATATATATACACAGAGAAGTAAATATACAAATAACAAAATGGAAAAAACAAGGAGCTGGCCCATGCTTTTTCTGCTACTTTTCTCTACTCTCGAAGAGTTGAATTTTCAAATACAAAATAAATAATAATTATAATTATACTTAAAAATTAGTAAAACCAACTTTTTATATTTTTTCTTCCACTTTTTAGGAATTTTCTCACATTTAACTAATACTAGTAGAGGACCCGGGCGAATGCACGGTGTGACCTTGCGGTTTTGTGAAGAAAATCTAAATCCTAAACCGAACCCGACCCAAAAACCCCTATTAAAAAATTTTAAAAACACAAACCTTTTTAATATATCTAAACCCGAGAACCCAAAATAAAAAAAATCCCGAAAACCCTGAACTAAATAAAAAAACTCTAAACTTTTTCATCTGAAACCCGAACCCGACCTTAAAACCTAATAAAAATTTCAAAATACCCTAACTTTTTTACAATGTCTAAACCCGAAAACCCGAAATCCAAAAAATCCGGAAAACCCAGAACTAAACACAAAAAAAACTCGAACCCAAACCGAACACAAATTTTAAATAAAACCCGAACACAAATCCACAATTGATTTAAATTAGACGTATTTCTATTTCACTATTGGAAATTTTGCAAATATCATTCGATCATATTCTATTGATTTGATATTATCCATAGATTATGTCAATTTTTCTTTTTTGCCAATTTTTAAGAGTTGAAAAACGGTAGTTTTCTAAACCATCAGTTTGTTTTAAGTTATTATTCTTGTATCCAAACAGTTTTTTCCATTTATTCTTCTATCCAAATAGATTTTTCTCTTATTCTTATATCCAAACAATTTTTGTTTCCATTTATTCTTCTATCCAAATAGATGTTTCTTTTATTCTTGTATCCAAGCATTAGAATGTACTTCTAGTAGAGTACCCGCACGTTTGTGCGGTGTGACGTTGTTGTTTTGTGTAGAAAATTTAAACCCTAAATCCGAACCCGACAAAAAACCCTAATCAAAAAATTTAAAAACCCAAACTTTTTTAATAGGTCTAAACATGAAAATCCGAAATCAAAAAAATCCCGAAAACCCTGACTGAACAAAAAAAATCTGGAAACTTTTTCACCCGGAACCCGACCCCAATACCTAATCAAAATTTTAAAATACTCAATTTTTTTAATATATCTAAACCCGAAAACCAGAAATCTAAAAAATCCGGAAAACCCTAAACTGAAAAAAAAAATTGAACCTAACCCGAACAGAAATTTTCAAAGAAACCCGAACAATTTCTATATCTCTATATATATCTCTATAAAATTATGTCTCAGATTTTCACCCAAACCCGAACTTGTCTATAAAAACCCGAAAATCCAAAAAGCATATTCTATTGATTTGGAATTATCGTTAGATTATGTTAAGTTTTCTTTTTTGCAGATTTTTAAGAGATGGAAAACGGAAGTTTTCTAAACCATCGGTTTATTTTAAGTTATTATTCTTGTATCCAAACAATTTTTTCCATTTATTCTTCTATCCAAATAGATTTTTCTCTTATTCTTATATCCAAACAACTTTTGTTTCCATTTATTCTTCTATCCAAATAGATGTTTCTCTAATTCTTGTATCCAAACATTAGAATGTACTTCTCAATTAATAATATAAAGATTAGTAGTTATGAATGTTTTACCACACTCAGTTCTTTTATCAACAAATTGACTTAAGCTTTTAGGATCAGAAATCCAAGTTTCTATAAGTTTCTGCACATAACATTTATTCTGCCATCAGTTTCTAAACACAACAGTGGTCCTTTTTCTATTCATGTTTTAATAATATAGAAAATTAAAAAGTTGAATCAAATGAATGGCGTTACAGTTGCAGATCTCTCACAGTGGGAATAAGAACAAAATTTTTTTTTTTTTTAATATATAGGAGAATACAGATTAACAAGGATTTTAAAAAGGATTAGTATTAAGGAAGGAATTAAAAATGGTAAAAATACTACAAAGCCCATCCGAACCAGACATCGATTCTCTTCATGTTCCACGGCTGATAAATTGAACAGAGCCATTAAATATTTTCTTTTCCCAAAAAGAAAATCAGTTTTAAAGCACAAACCATTGTAAAAGACGTTAATACCCTTCCAATGCTTTCACACTCTTCTTGAACAATGAACAGAGAAAGAGAGAGAGAGGAGACACTCTTTTGCTAAAGTCTCTCTGTGTTGTACTCTCCAAAATTCCATTTTCTGGTCTCGAGGGTTTTCAGACAGTGAAGAGACAGAGCTGTGGCAAAGATGAGAGGACCTTTGGGAGCTGTGATTGGAAGATATACTTCAAGTGATGGGAGTGCTCCAAATGATGGGATCATCAAGCACAACAGAAAGTGCAGAGATATTACGTTTCTTGTCATCTTCATTGCCTTTTGGGTTTCAATGATTGTTAATTCCAGCTTTGGTTTCAACCAAGGAAACCCATTAAGGTACACGATTCGATAGATTTTTGCTCGAAATCTCTTTGGACAAAACAAAGCCTCCTCCTTTTTCTTCGTCTCCTAAAACCTCAAATGGGGTTTTCAAATTTTCCTTCCTGTTTAGCTAATTTCGACTTGTTTCGTGTTTTGTTATGCCAAAGTTTCTATCTTTGTAGTACTAGTTGTGGTGTTAAGTAGATTACAAGCATAAACTTGAATTGAGAAGCTTAAAAGATTTTTCATTCAAGCCATTTGCTGCTGATTTCTCAGTGAATATTGCTCTGCTAATTTCGACTAATTTCGCTTTTATTATGCCAAAGTTTCTATCTTTGTAGTACTAGTTGTGTTGTTAAGTAGATTAAAAGCATAAACTTGATTTGAGAAGCTTAAAAAGCTTTTTCATTCAATCCATTTGCTTGCTAATTGCTCCGTGAATATTGCTCTGTTAATCGAAATCGGTTTATGTCTTGTTTGCAGACTCACATATGGACTGGACTATGAAGGGAATGTGTGTGGTAGCAAGCATCGTCACCGTGACCTTACTCAGCTTGAGCTTAGATACTGGTTAAACCCTAACCAAGTCTACGAGAGTGGTTTGAAAGATGGCGTGCTCAAATTGGCTAATGCTAGAACCATCTGTCTCTTGGACTGCCCTGCACCTTCAGATGATAATCTCAACTGGGTCTGTGACTATCCTGACGGCGAGATTCGTATCAAGCTGAATGATTGGATCGACAGGAACTACGATTACTTTGAGTTTCTTACTCCGGAGATGAGGAACTCATCGCTTCAGCTTCAGGGTCCTTGTTACCCTGTGATATTCCCTAGTGTCAATGGTAAGGAGAGCTTCATTATATATATTGCATAAAGCTCAAGTCTTTTTACCGTTTTGTGTGACAAGATTTGATATTTTGTTTCTGTAGTTTATTGGAGCTGCCAATACATTGCTCGTGCTTCAAACTCATCCCTGCGCCACTGGCAGCAGATGGGTGGTGTGAACATTCAAGATGACATGATCATAGACAAATCGATTCGAAGAGCAATGAACTCTCGAGCCTCGGTTCTAAAGGTTAGAGAATGATCATCTTCTCTCAACGTTTCACTGTAAAATGATGAATGTTGTAAGCGTTTTGTTGGTTGTGCAATCGCAGCGTTACGTGGCTGACATTGGAAAGTCATGGCCTGTGCTGATTGTTTGTGGAGGACTTGTCCCTCTGTTTCTATCCATTGTGTGGCTTCTCCTGATTCGCCACTTTGTTGCCGCCATGCCCTGGATCACTGTTGTCCTTTTCAACTTGCTTTTGATATCAGTGACCATCTTCTATTACTTAAAAGGTTGGTTTTTTTTTTTAGAAAAATCAAACTTTTACCATCTTTTCTCTGTTTTAAATCACATTGTTTTGTCTTTATGTAGCTGGATGGATTGGGAATGATGCTGTAACACCTATTATCGGTGAGCATGACCCATACTTTCATGTGTCTGGTCGAGTAAGTTTTCAACTTTACGCTGCTTTCAAGTTCCATTAGTCCCATATTTCAAGGCTCATTTTCATTTTTCTTGTTCCCTAGGAGCTGACTCATGTCCGAGGAGTAGCCATTCTGATGACTTTTATCTCAGCTGTTGCGATCCTCACTTCAATCGCCATCATCCGCAGAATTCTTAAGGCAACATCAGTCCTTAAGGTGTGTTTCAGTCTCTTAGTAGTTTGGTTTTACCACTTTGGCTTTTACTAACAATGTCAAATGATATGAACCTTTGTTCACACACAAATTAAGAGAAAGATATGAAAGCTTAGCTCCCTTTTAACCCTAATTCTCTCTTAGAGATTAAGGTTAATTCTTGGGGCTTGGTTTATTATTCATCAATAGAGACCCTTATATAGGTCTTGATACAACTTAAGCATAAACCCTAATGTAAAAAGGAAAACACTCTTAACATATAAATTATGAAAGCCTTAACTTATCAATCAAGTAAAACACCAAAACCCATTAACTAATAAAGCCCTATTCATATCCTAAACCCCTAACCATAGTCACGTATCATCAAACTCTCCAGGTAGCCGCTAAAGTAATAGGAGAAGTGCATGCTCTGATTATATTCCCGGCTATACCATACGCAATGCTCGCTGTATTCTACATGTTCTGGTTATCAGCAGCTCTCCATCTATTCAGCTCCGGTCAAGTTGTTCAGAACAAGTGCGACAACACAAACTGCTGCGCGTATGATCTCGTGGCAAAGAAAGTGAGCTGTGACCGTTGTTGCGGTTACAGCATACGTTACACTCCTCACATCACCATTGCCATATTCTTCCACCTGTTTGGTTGCTACTGGGCCACACAGTTCTTCATTGCAGCTTCTGCGACTGTGATTGCTGGCTCTGTTGCTTCCTATTATTGGGCTCAAGGAGAAGCATCCGTAAGCTTAAACGTTTCTGAGTAAATATATATGGAACTGTTGATTGCTTATGATTTATCAAGTGTTGATTGAGGTTTTATGGTTGAACACAATGCAGCCAGAGATACAGTTTCTTCCTGTTTTCGCATCAATGAAGCGGCTTGCTCGCTACAACCTTGGATCAGTAGCGCTTGGTTCACTCATTGTCTCCTTTGTGGAGTCTGTTCGGTTCATTCTTGAAGCCATTCGTCGTAGGACGAAAGTAAGAGGGACGACACCAGATAACTGGTTTTTGAGAATGGGTCATTACACTGCACGTGGTTGTCTCAAAAGCGTTGAGTGGACCATCAAATCGGTTAACCGCAACGCCTACATAATGGTAACAGAATAATCACCTCCTCTAGGCCAAAAACACACATTTCTTGAACCGTTTCTTGATAGATTGTTTGGCTCTCTGTGTATTTTTAGATTGCTATAACAGGGAAAAGCTTCTGCAAGTCGTCTGCAATTGCAACAGAGCTGATCATGAACAACATTATGAGGATAGGCAAGGTTAATGTGATAGGAGATGTTATATTGTTTCTAGGGAAGCTTTGTGTGAGTCTCTTCAGTGCTCTCTTTGGCTTTCTGATGTTGGATTCCCACAAGTATCGGTCTTCTCACAACAAAGTCTCATCCCCTCTATTACCTGTTTTGGTAAAAGCCTTTTCTTATTTCCTCTAGACAAAGACAGCTTGAATATGTTTGATTGTGACTCTCTCTCTTTATGCACAGGCATGTTGGGCATTGGGGTATATTGTGGCGACACTTTTCTTTGCGGTGGTTGAGATGTCCATAGACACAATCATTCTCTCCTTTTGTCAAGACTCAGAGGAGAATCAAGGGAACGCTCAGCACGCACCATCTCTTCTGCTTGAAACTTTAGATAGCAATGATGAGGAAGAGGTTCAGAGACTTACCCACTGATAGATCTCCATACTGTATAAGTTTTGTTCTTTCCTTGTTTGGCCGATTTCTATGGGTTTTTTGAAAAAAAAAAACGGAATCTTTTATCTATCAAAACATTCTAAGCATATTGTAATGTCAGATGGCTTTGATGATGATTCTTCGATTCTTAAAACCAAAAATTTATATTTCTGCCAAAATGCCTCTTTTGTTTGGTTACATAACGAATGGAGTGCTGTTAACAGTAGAGTCAAATTTTTAATAGAATGAAGCAAAGAGGTTTGAACCAATGGTGTTTCTATTTTCTGGCGAAACTCAGTTTCTTGGGGTCAACCTCATCAACACGTATCATCATCACGAGGCCATTATCTTCTTCAGACCAAGCAATGGATTCTCCCTCCAGCAGCTTAGCAATTGCAGTAAGCTAGATAAAACAGAAGTAAACCGAGGCAATTCAAGATTCTATTCAGAGATGAAGGTAGATGAGTAAAGATGGTTTTAAATTTTACTCGTCTTTTGCATTTGGAAACGTCCTTGTTGTCACCCAATTTGACTCTGAGGTACTTGATAGCTGAATCATTATTAGAATACAAACAGATTAGATTCGTTTCTGTTAGAACAGAAAGAGGTTTAAGAGAAAGGGATTAAAACCTTACATGCAATGCCAGAGAAGTTCTTAAGTTGGAGCTTGAGAAGACGAAGAGCTTCCCTTGGTTCGTGCTCGTTCACATTCACAGTCACTACCTCATCTTCCTTGTAAGCCGAATCATCGTCTTTCCTGTAAGCATGGTTTTGACTTTTCTCAACTCATCTTGCCAATGGAGTATATAGCTGAAAATTAGTAGAAGACTGAACATAAATGGTTGCGAAATTAACTGACTTGTCTTCAAGCATCTTGGCTATAGACTTATCATCTGCTTCTCGAGCTTTTTGTCCGAAAAAGTGTCCCTATGTATTGTGGAAGATATCAAATAGTTATTATATAAAGAACACAGGAAAGAAATTAATCACTTTCTTCTTTCCAAATTGTACCTTCTCCACGAGTCTGTGTGCTCGCTCAGTTTCTCCTTTGGAGAATGCTTCTACAGCCTGCCAAAGAGTAAAAAGATTTTAGTTAGGCAACCACCACATCAATCACATAGCCATTGAAGACGCACAAATCCTCATTATCTCAAAAGACTTACAGCTCCGTAATATTCTTTCATCTCCTGCAAATACTCGTGTACTGCTTTACGATGTGCCCTATATTCATTTTCATCTTCTTCAGCTTTCAAAGGAGAAACATAGATAGTTTAGCACACTCTTGAGAAATGAGACAACAAACTCAAATAAGCGTACATTTAAGACTCTTACACGGTTACCTTCTTTAGCATTATGTGGCGATAGTTTCACAGTAACTACTCTCTCTTTGAAAGGGTCTTCCAAAGGTTTAAAAACAGGACGACCAGCAACTCTTGGTCTCCTTTCTCCAAATCGCCGAGCTGTTTTTGGCACTTCCTCGTATCTTTCCGCACCTGAGAACAAAGCTTCTAAAACTTCCTTTTCAAGAGCATTCTTGTCACTGCATCATCACGAAAGGCAATTAGAAGAGGGAAAAGGATTTTGCCAAGGGGATAGTTTCGTACAAAGATTAACTAGAAAAAGCGTGCCTCTGAGAAACTTCTTGCAGTTCCACTTGGTAGCTGGACGTAGATCCCTGTCTTTGAGAATCAACTTTTGACATCTTTAAGAAGAAGGGAAATAACCAATAGAGTCAGATTTAGAATCAGACGTTATCCTATAGCAAAGTCCAAACTAAAAGTCATAAGAAAAGTCTCACAACTTCACTGGAAATTCCAGCATCAGCATACTTCTTGGTATCAGACAAGTCAAGTAGTTTCTCCGTACTCTGCAATATAATAAAGAATTTTGTGTGGATGCCAAAAGAAGAAGTTGCAGCACATAGATTCAGAGCCAAGATCTATGAAATACTCACAGGAGCCATATGCCAAGTGCTATAGAGATACCAATAATAATCAAGTGATAAGAATTAGAGGAGACAGTAGGCTTGACAAGTCAACTTTATCTCAAACTTTAGTCAGCAAATAGTATGAAACACACAAAAAGGACTATCAAAGCAATGCAGCAGGATCGTTGATAATACTAAGCTTTTGCCGAGAGAGAACTCTCATTTTAATTAATCAAAATCATAAACTGAATACAAACCTTAGTGCTAAACTTTTTTATTTATCCAAAACCACTAGAAGAGCCCTAAAACAATAAAACGAAATTTTCTAAGTAATAAAACAAATTAAAAAATTTGTATAAATTCCAAAATCCATATATCAGAAAGTAGCTCAAGGGTATAACTGTAAATAATTTTCCAAAGTAGCTCAAATAAAAAGTGATCCAACTATAAAGCTCACAGGTCATAATTAAGCTGGTGGCGATGAGCTTCAAGATATGGGAGAATAAAATACAGTATAATTCAGCGAAGAATAGGTCAATCATATTTTATACTTTTAGAAAGAAGATAACGAAGGCACATGCAAAAGCAAATTGCTATTCAAGAAACAAAAATTACATTACCTTCTTCACATCATATCCGCAAACGCCTGATAGTTTGGTGGAACAAGCAGATAAGGTCACCAATATACAGTTAAAGAAGAAAAAAAGAAGTCAAGCATAAATAAGGAAAAGAAAGAAGAGAATGCTTTTACCAAGAATCTGGTGAATGACCTCTGGGCTAGCTTGAAAGCCTTCTCCGAGCATCTTAACAATGAATTCCTCAACATCAGTTGGAGTTCTGCTTGTGTATGCCTCTTTGTTCTTTGGCATTTCTTCACTCCATATCACAGTTTCTGGAATATCCTTTGAGTCTATCTTCATTGGTTTAGTTGCTTCCCGGGGAGCGTTTGTTACAGGCCTGGTTCTAACATACTCCTTACCGATAATACTTGAAACAGTACCAACTGATATAGAGTTTCTTTTCGGCCTCCATACTTTGGCTTTGCCTTCCTCTTGTCGTCGAACTTCCTTGGGAACATAGACATGAGTTGGTTTTGCGGTTCCTTCATCCGTTTTGTCAATTAGAGGCGTCTTTTCTTCTGCCATTGCAAAGAGAATCTCACCAGCTGTATCGACATTCTTGCTTGCTTGGGAGTAAGCAGCAACAATGTCATCAAGAGAAAAACGAGAACCAAAAGCTTCGAGAAGCGCTTGCAAGCTTCTTGAATCTGGGTCGCTGTGTGATGAAGAGCTTGCAATCATTGACATTTCTCCTTCTAATTCACAGAACAAAACGAGTGGCTCGGTTAATATAAACAACACTACTGATACTAAATGCAGAGTGCAGATTGAAAATGTTCATGTAATGCATTTGAAGCCGCAAGAAGTAAGTTTTAATCATCCTCCTACGAATCGTCTTTGACTGGGATCTAAAGCTGAAAATGGCTTGTAATTATGTCCAAAAACCAATACTTTCAACATAGATTTTGGTTCAAAATTTATATGTGCTACGCATTAACACAAACACCTGGAAAGCATAATTTCTCCGACCTAAATAGATATATGGAACTACCTCTACGCAAACCAATCAATTATCTCAATTTTTCACTTGTAATGTAATACAACTGAAGCAAATCAATGGCACAGTGACAAAACAGATGAAATGCAGGAAAAGATTTTAACTTGTTATCGATAATCACGGCGCAAGCAAGCGAAAGGGAAACGCATAGAATCAAGCGATGAATGTGAAACAAGTAAAGCAGCAAAAAAGAAGAAAGAATCTTTGGTAAAAAAAGAAAAAAGCAATCCGAACTCGTTTTGAGACCACAAAGAAGTCATTTTTTTCCAACAATCAGCAATGCGAAGAGAAGAGAGTAAAATGCAAGAGTTCGCTTACCGGAAAACGCAGAATCGATGTAGGCAGAGGAAGGTTTTACCCACCAGAGCTGAGAAAAGGGCTTATTCAATCGAGAATCTGAATCGGGAATTGCATTTGATTTTTCAAAGACCAAAACTTGTAAAATCGACCGGAGAAGAAGACGAGGAAGATGACAAGAGAGAATTTTCCGGCGATGATGAATTTTTCAGTGAAGCACGGAGAAATTTATTCGGTGCATGAGACTGTCAAGGTTTCATGGTCTCCGTAACTTCACAAGCACAAACATTTTTTCTTTTTCTTTGAAACTTTACAAACAAAAACAATTATTTATTTATTATGAAATAATCCTTTATAGTTTTTCTATTAGCAAAATAGCACCCCCTTGTTTTGTATTTTACAAAATAGCTCCTTTGTTTCTATTTCTATTTGTCGTCGTCCTCGTTGTTTTTCTCTGGTTCTCTCAGCTCTCACTCCTTTGATCGCCGACGACGAGTTCTGGTAAGCTCACACTCCTAATTCTCATCCATCCCTTTTTAAATAGTTCCTAGTTCTGCTTTCGATCAATTCGGCGAAATCGAATCTGTAAAATCTCCGATCCCTAGCAACCCAAAACTGTTCCTTTGCTGTTTTCGCAATCATGAATTTTGCGTTTTACGGGCTTATCGCAGAGAAATTATGGGTGCGAGAGGAATAATCACCGATAAATGGTCGATGAGGATTCTATGGGGCTGTGCAATCGGAAGTGCAATCGGTATAATTTCAGAAATTGGATTTTTTTTCTTTTCATTTTTTTCCCTCAAATTGATGAGCTTGTCTTTCTTCTTAACCATATGATTGTTTAGGTTTATACATGGTTGCTGTGGAGAGACAAACCCAGAACAGGGCACGTGCTTTGGCTGAAGGTTTGGGAGCTGCAGAGTCGCAAGGTGATGGTGATTGCGTCTGATTATGTAACTTTTTGAGTGTTTTGTTTTTTAGCTTACTCTTGTTGGCAAATAATCGAGAAAACTTGAAGAGTGTTTGAAGTTTGCTAAAACATACAATTTGTGTTATCAGGAAAAGCATCTTACTTTCTCTCCTGTCATGCTATGTTTGTGAATCAATATTTTCATGCATATTTTCAGCAAGGCATAATTGCGTTTACGGAGATGTGTGTTGTTAAAAGTTATAACTCTTCTTGCCTCCTATAAATAACCATGGGGGATTCTTGATTTTGAAAGTGTAAGAAAGAAAAGAAAAAAAGAATGGCACAGGGACAGCAAGGGAAATGCTTTGTGTTCGTCCTTTTACTATGCTTCTTCTTCAGTTCAAGTTTGGCACGCAGGATTCTTAAGGATCTCCCTATGATGGAGGCAAGCAAGGTTGATCTTACCCATGTAGTGAAGCCTGGGATGGTTAGTTTGAGCGAGCAAGATCATGACTTGTTCCTTGTAGAACCTGTGCACGTATTCAAGCCTGGCCTTAAGCTGCAGTCCATGTCGGGTGAACCAGATCCTGATCGCAAAGTCAAGCCAGAGGATGACAAAGTAAAGCAAGATCACATTGTCAAGCTTGATCACAAAGTCAAGACAGATGATGACAAAGTGAAGCAAGATAACATTGTCAAGACAGATGATGGCAAAGTAAAGCAAGATCACATCGTCAAGACAGATGATGGCAAAGAAAAGCAAGACCACATAGTCAAGCTTGACCACAAAGAAAAGCCAGAGGATGACAAAGTAAAGCAAGATGGCTTCAAAGAAAAGCTTGACCATAATGTGCGGACCATGGCGAGTGGACTAGAAGATCTTGACCACATAGTCAAGCCTATGGGGTTTGGTGAAGGTAGGGGCTTTGGAAGTGGCAGTGGAGGCAGTGGCTTTGGAGAAGGAATCGGTTATGGCAGTGGAGGCAGTGGATTCGGAGAAGGAATCGGTTCTGGTGGTGGAGGCAGTGGATTCGGAGAAGGAATTGGCTCTGGTAGTGGAGGCAGTGGCTTTGGAGAAGGAATCGGTTATGGCAGTGGAGGCAGTGGATTCGGAGAAGGAATTGGCTCTGGTAGTGGAGGCAGTGGCTTTGGAGAAGGAATTGGCTCTGGTAATGGAGGCAGTGGCTTTGGAGAAGGAATAGGATCCTCCGGGTCAGGCCAACCTAACTGTGGTTCAGTCAGGGGATCTGGTAGTGGATTTGGCGAAGGCATTGGACGAGGCAGTGGTGGTTCAGGGGAAGGGATTGGTATCGGTATAGGAGGAAATGGTGCTGCACCAGGTGTAGTTGTCCCAGGCACAACAATCCCTCCCATTGTGGTTCCAGGCACACAGATTCCCGGTTTTGTGATTCCAGGAGTCACGGTTCCTGGCTATGGTTCAGGCTGCCAAACCGGTGGCTGCACCCCAAACGCACCATATTACCGCCCCCCACCGGCATACCAACCACCATGTTCCCATTGCCCACCTTTCACTTCAGGACAAGACAAGCACGTGTCGTCACACAAAGGAACCATGACCGAAGCTCTTGCACCCATTTCAAACGAGATGCACGTCTGAGCTTTATCAGTAGTGTCCAACACAAAGTATATCTAATAAATCACTCATAATGAGATTATCTATTTTGGTTTGATAAAAAAGCTTCACATCAAGTTGAATAATCCAACGTTACCAAAATAAAGTTTAATAAGTGAAAATTTGCTTAAGAAATGGCTACTACTCATTGGCTTAAGACAAGATTGAGTCAAAGAATTAAAACAATTGGACTAATTCTAAAACCAAAAAAAAATATATTGGACTAGTTGGACTGTATTTGCATTTCCATGGATGTATCTTCGACAAATGAGTTTATAAGCTGTATTTTAATGAAAAATACGATTTTTTAAATAAAAAAAGTGAAATTAAAAGAGGTGTAGTTTTCATAAAGCGGGCAAATCATTTTCCATCTCCGATCATAGAGATTAGCGACGGACCGGAGAAGAAGAACTAGAAGACCGACGAAGCGCGTGTGTGTGAATTTGTAAATGGATCGAATTCTGAAGGCTGCTCGAACATCCGGTTCGCTCAACCTCTCCAATCGCTCTCTCCGGTAAGCTACAGTTTTTGTTTCCATTCTCCATTGAATCGCCGAATCTGGCAATCGTGGTCAGCCATCGATTCCAATAGTCTCGAAATTTTGTTACAATGTGAATATCATCTTTTCAATCGGGACTCAGTCAAGTAGCTGGAGTTCTGTAATTTACCTTTGAACCTTTCGAAATCCGTAGCGTGATGTGATTTATCTGAGAAAATCTAGATTCGTAGTTGAAAAGGATTTGATCCCATTGTATATGAGCTGAAAAGTCTTTTGCTTGCGCCTCTGTTTGTTAATATGGGGTTTGATTTTTCAGGGATGTGCCTACAGAGGTGTATCAATGTCTGGAAACGACCGGAGAAGGAGAAAACTGGTGGGAGGTGGATAAAACTGAAACCCTTCTTCTAGTGCATTGTTCTGTGATCAGATTTCTTAAATGTTTTAAAATCTCCCACAATCTCCTTTGCAGGCGGTTGATTTGCAGAAGCTGATTTTAGCACATAACGAAATTGAGGTTTTGAGAGAAGATCTTAAGAACCTTGCCTGTTTGGTTGTGCTGAATGTCAGTCACAATAAACTGACTCAACTTCCAGCAGCGATTGGGGAGTGAGTGTTTCTGGATCCTCTGTGTAGTTAGGTTTCATTGTGTTAATGTCCAAACGTTTATTCTCTTTACTCATTCGTAGGCTTACTGCAATGAAGTCATTGGATGTGTCTTTTAATTCGATATCAGAATTCCCTGAGCAAATTGGTTCAGCAACTTCTCTTGTCAAGTAGGTTATCTCCTTCCTGGCATTAACTTCTACACCTCCCTCGGTTTATCAAATGATTAAACTCCTTGTGCTCGCTTCAGGCTTGACTGTTCAAGCAATCGGCTTAAACAACTGCCAGAATCTCTTGGAAGATGCTTAGACTTATCTGATTTGAAGGTTGTTGTTCTATGTTTCTTCTGGATCAGTTTTTTTTTTTTTTTTACTTCTTCTTTCATGGCAATGATTGTGCTTATTGTGTTATCCACAGGCCTCAAATAATCAACTTTCCAGATTGCCAGAAGACATGGCCAACTGTTTGAAGTTATCTAAGCTGGATGTGGAGGTATTAGTCTTGATTTCTTCCTCGAGTGGGGACTACTTAGCATTTCTTGTTTCCCTCTTTCACTGCCTTGCAAGTGCAATGGCAAGGAAAGATGATTTACCAATGTAATGTAAACCTATTGCAGGGAAACAAGCTCACAGCTCTCTCTGAGGGGCACATAGCGTCATGGAAAATGCTTACAGAACTTAATGCATGTAAAGATACTCAACTTTTCTTTTGCGTTTCTTACATACTGAGATATTCTGGCGCACACTTTAATATCTTTTCACTCTGCAGCCAAGAATATGTTGGGTGGTCTGCCACAAAATATCGGAAGCCTTTCACGTCTTATCCGGCTCGACCTTCATCAGAACAGTAAGTACTAAGTACTGTGTGATCTGATGAGATAATGTTTCTGCCATACCTTATCAAACTTACTCCGTCTGTCTAGTTTCTGAAATTCTTTTCGTATTTGGTTCACGCAGAAATCTCGTCAGTTCCACCATCTATAGGCGGTTGCTCCTCTCTTGTGGAGTTCTATTTGGGGTCATTCTCTACTAACGTTTATTCAGAAAGATTGTTTGATCCTACATGGAATGTAATTAAAGACTTTCACTTTCTGACATTCTCCTCTCTGTGCTTTATTCCAGAATTAACACACTATCAACATTACCAGAAGAGATTGGAGATCTATCATGTCTAGGAACATTGGATCTTCGCTCTAATCAGGTATTGTGCTCATTTCTTTGTTTTCTGACACCCTATGTTTCTTTTTCTAGTGACAATCACTTGCTCCTAATTATTGGTCTGCTTTCTCCCGATATTCAGCTCAAGGAGTATCCAGTTGGTGCATGTAAATTGAAGCTCTCGTACCTAGATCTTTCAAATAATTCATTGACAGGGTTGCATCCTGAGCTCGGTACGACTATGAAACAGCACCAACTGTTTTTCCATCACCTGCTTGTTAATGACTTTACATACGACTGTTTTTGCATAATGCTTCTTGTCCTCTCATTATTTATAGGAAACATGACTACTCTGAGAAAGCTTGTGCTTGTTGGCAATCCTTTGAGAACCCTTAGAAGGTAACTTTTTTCACTCTCTGTCTGGTTTCTTGATTGCTAACAATTGGTGTTAGTTTGATTGTTACGTCTAAGAGGCCAATATTTCTTCTTTCTTTTTTTCTCTTCAGCTCATTAGTAAATGGTCCTACAGCTGCTCTATTGAAGTATCTTAGGAGCCGCCTTTCTAATGGTGAAGGTACTTTGGTCCATCATCTCTCTCTCTCATGTCTCATCTAAGTGGTTATGACTAACTGTAAAAGGTTTCATGTATAGAAACTAGTGCAAGTACTCCGACAAAGGAAACTGTAATTGCTTCAGCAGCTCGTATGTCCATATGTTCAAAGGTAAGTGAATTCACAAATCTGATCACCATCCTGTTAAGAGTTCCATGTAACTGTGATCTTATTGATTGCTACTACACAAAACCTCAGGAACTTTCTCTGGAAGGTCTCAACTTGATTGCTGTGCCTTCAGAAGTTTGGGAATCTGGAGAAATCACAAAGGTCAATCTTTCGAAGAACTCTATTGAGGAATTGCCTGAACAGCTTTCATCATCTCTTTCCCTTCAGGTAGTTGGTTTCCATACACATTCTCCTTATATATGCAAAGAAGATTAGATGCTACATAATCATTTGCTTTATAAAATCCATCAATTATTGCTAATCATCTTTGCAATTTGCAGACTTTGATTTTGTCACGGAACAAGATAAAAGATTGGCCTGGTGCAATCTTGAAGTCACTTCCCGGTCTTGTGTGCTTGAAGTTAGATAATAATCCCCTGAAGCAGGTATGGTGATGTTTAAAGAGTTGAACCATAGCTTCCACCGAGTATACACTAATCCATCACCTTCCTTTTTTTTGCTCCTAAGATTCCAC